CCACATTACAAACAGGTTTTAGTGGGAAGGCCCTGGGCCAAGGCCAGGGAGCGGACCTCCGCTGTGGGGGCTGGTGAGGCCAGGTAACCGGCCAGAGAAAAAGCTTTGGCTGTTGTTAGCGGCAATTGTACCATGAACTACATAATCACTCCGCTCTGGGATCTGAGCCCGGTGCAGAGTCCTCACAAAGACCAGGTAAAGGGGCAACATTATCCTCAACTAACAGCTGAAAAAAAAATCACAGGCTCAGAAAGGGTTTGCTCAAGGCCACAGAGCAGGGCTGGGACCACAGTGAAGCAGAGAAGGCGCATTTCTAGGACCGCCCCCAAACTCGGAACCGAGACAAACAATACTTTCATGCAATACTGTTTTAATCAAAATTTTAAAATCCCTGATGAGCAGAATAGTGAAGTTTCAGTAAAGATGTCTCACCGGCCTCCCCTAGGTCCCAGCTTGGACTCCGGAGCCAGGATTCTGCTTCTTCAAGTCTAGCCAGTTCTGCAGTCCACAACCCCAACCAGCTGCTCCGGCCGCACTGTCCTGCTCCTGGTCCTAGGTCCTCAGAACCTTGAATGGCATTCCAGTTACAATTCTCCGAGATCAGAGAAGACCTGAGGATCCTTCTCAGAAAGCTTGGGGCACAACCCCCTGCGGGGCTCTGCTTGTTGACCCAGGCAAACAAAACGGGCCAGAACACCCCTCCCTCCATGCTTGGGGCCTGGTGGCATTCGGGGGAGGGGGAGGTGAGGCTGGGAAGAAGGAAGCTGATAAGAACCATGACCCAGCCAGAGGCCCAGAGACTCCCAGGCCCATTCTGAGGGCAAAGCCAAACCCAAACCAAGAGCCTCGGGGTGGGAGCAAGAGGACATGTGGTCTCCTTCAACACCATCTCCGTCACCAACTATGGGCCTCTGCCACCCACGGCCCTCACTACAGACCTTCTGACGTTTAACATCTTTGCACCAGAAGGCGAGCTGAGGTCCAGGCCAGAGACATGGCCTGTCCAGAGTAAGGTCAGAGCCAGAGCCCAGGTCTTATGAAGACTTGTCCATGCAGCTGCCCTTCCTGCCCCTGGAGAAGAGTGACAGCTCCTCCTCTGTGGCTGTCTCTTTGTCTGTGGGTGAGCGGTTTGGGACCTTCCGGGCCTCTGGGTCCGTGGAGAGGCTGAATTTTTTTTTTTTTTAAAGCAGCCTCAAAGGTCTGGGGAGGCCTAGGGACAGGAATTTGAAGCTCTAAGTTCCAGGAGGAAGTGGGAGGCTGGGGAGGAGGGTTTGGAGTCCAGAAGAGGGAGCCTGGGCGCTGGAGTGGCAGTTCCAACTCTTGGTTAAGACTGAGTAGCCCTTGGAGCCTGGTCTGGCCCCTGGGAGCCTGACACTTATTCACTTTGCTTTCCTTGGGGCCCCAAAGCCCCTCCAGCAGGCCCACTTCCTCCTTGGTGGGGGGGGGAAAGAGGTCTGCCTCCCGCTGTGTAAATGGAGCTCTCAGAGGTTAGGTCACTTGCTATGGTCCACACCAGCTTTGCTGGACCTCAAAGCCTCTATATCCTTCCAGGACTGACCAGGCTCCTTTCTCAAAAGGTCGGGTGGATCCCCCTTGCCCCGGAACCCCTGGATGCTTAGTCCAAGGCCACTTCTCAGGCACCTTCCCGGCTAAACAAGAGCCCAGGTGAGCACACACACATTCAGGCTGTGGACGGGCTGAGATGTAAGAAGCAGCTAGGCGATGGAGAAAAGAGAAGGAGGAGGTCTGGTGGCCGAGCTGGAGACACCCAGATGGGAATAAAATGAGGTTAGTGAGACGCTGAATCTCAGAGAAATTTCCAAATGAAATAAATCGCATAGCATGTTCTATATGAGAATAGACCGTGACCATTCAATACCAATGATCGAACCCTAACGACTCGTTAGATATTCCTGGGCTCTAAGGAGTGCTGAGAAGCCAGCCAGGGCTGCATGAAGTTTGGATTCATGCTGTTCTTTTCAACTGTAAAAGATCCGTTCTTCCACACACACTCCACATGCCCGCTGCAGTTCTGATCATCGCCGGGCGCAGGGCTCAGGGCTCCGCGCTAGCGGCAGCTTTGCTTTCGCTAGGTCCGGGATCCAAACCCCAGCCTAAGACCAAGAGGCCAAAAGAGGTCTGCCCAGGGCAGGCACTGCTCAAGACCCACCTGTGGGCAAGAGCAGGACAATGACTTTCTCATGACCTGGCGGGGTCCATGGATCCTGGCCCTGGGGGCATCCCCATCGTTAAGAGGCCCAGGATGGGGGCTCGTGTTGACTGAGTTGGGACCTGTCGGGCTCGGTGGAGGTGGGGTTCTCCAAGACGCAGCATGAGGCGGGAAGGAGCAGGGGTGGAGCGATAGAGTGGAGGAGAAAAAGCCTCCAGAGGCACCCAGAGCAGGAGAAACCAGGCCCAAGCTGGGGCTGGCCCTGGGAAGGGCCAGGGCAGCCTGCGGCCCTTGTGATTTATGTCCCCCTCCCCAACCACCCAACGAAAATTTAACGACCCACCTGCCGGTCAGCCCGGGAGGCACCCACTGCAACCGCGGCCGAGCTGGGGCGGGGGCCTGTCTGCTCTCGGCCCCTCGGCGCCCGCCCTCCTGCCTCCCCGACAGCTTGCAGCCGAGCGGGGCCCGCGGTCCCCGGGGAGCCGCCCGTCCTCGCTCCCAGCCCGGCCGGCGGCGAGGCCGCTTCCAATCTGCCGGCGGGCACAGGGGGAGAGCGCGGGGAGCCAGGCGTGAGGCCACCGCCAACCTCACCGGAGGAAGAAGAAAGTTTCTGCTCGCCGGGTCGCGTGGGGCTTCTACGGGCCGGGTCTTGGGTTTGGGGGGATGCGGGGGACATCATAGTTCTGCTGTGGTCTGGGACGCTGAGCCGGACGTGGGGTCCAGGTAGTTCTCTGGGGGCCTTTGGGGAAGGGGATGGCAGCATGCGGGCCCGCCTGGGAAGGCCTGGGCTCCTGGCGTGGAGCTGACGAAGGGGTGCTCGAGGCTCGCGGGGCCTGCCTACAGCCGCGCCGGCTCATCGGCTGTCTCCACCCTTGACCACCGACCACGGTTGTGGTCCCTGGGGCTGTGCCAGGAGGATCCCGGCCAAGGATGCGCTTCAGCTCTGCCGCTGCTCTGGGCCCCAACACTGAAGGCTAACCCCTGAAAGGTGCGGAACTAGAGCACCGTGGTTGGGGAGTGGGGAGGGTGAGGCGGCGCATTATTCACAATGAAAACGCTGGGTTTCCAGAGCTGCCTTGAAAACACATCCCCCCGGCGAGCTCCAGCTCCTCGACGAGTAAGAAGCTAAGTCATTTGCAGACGTCTATACTCGCATACGGAAGCTCTTTCACGTCCCTGTTTGGAAGTACAAAGACACCCAGTGCCTGGGACAAGCGCCACAGCTGGGGCGATCGGCTGGATAGGAGGTCCCGTCTTCTTTGTCCCGTGTGCTGCTTCCCTGGGACCACACAGATTTCCCGGGGTCCTCAATGTCCCAGACACGATCTTCCCACTTTCTCCACCCCCGCCCCACAACGAAGCCATCGGTCTGGCCCCATTTCGGGGCCGAAACCAGGGTTTCCCAAGCCCCTGCTAGGCCCGCAGGGTCCAAAGAGGGCAGACAGAAGGCTACAAATGTCCTACACGGGAAACATCTAAAGCCCAATGAAAACGCCCCAAAACAATGTCGCTTAAACAAACATCTCTTCCCCACACCAGGTCAGGGCTTCACACACACACACACACACACACACACACACACACACACACTCTTTCTCCGCTAGTCTGAGTCCCTTTCTCTCGCAGGAGGAAAAAAAACGGGGGAGGTTGGGGGCGGGGGGAAGTGAAGAAAGGATTTCTGACAGCCCCGAGGACGAGTAATTTGAATAACTGTGGAAGAGGTTAGGGAAAACTTTAAAAACCTCCCAACCCGACCCACCGGCAGCGGCAGGCAGCAGCAGCCGGCTCCGGACCCCTCCCCGCTAGCCCGTGCCCCCCTCGGCTAATCACCCTCATTAGGAGCCTCATCACCAGCCTAATGAAAGCAAACCGTGTGGAAATCGCCGGTAAACAGTTGGGTCTGTGGTGTAATTAATTCAGTGTCTCTTTTAATCAAACTGAAAGGGAATCGGGCAGCGGCTTGTGGAACCGTGACATCACCCCCAAAATCAGACGGAGCCAATCAGCGTCATCACTCCGGGGACACGTGGGCGAGTCCCCTTTTAAAAAAAAACACACACACACACAACACAACGAAAAAAAAAAAAAGAAACAAAAAAAACCCAGCCCCAAAGTAAAAGTGACACAAGTTCATTTTTTAAAGGAAGGGGGGGAGGCGAAGGCGCGCGCGGAGGACGCGTTGAGAGCAGAGCGGCGGAGCCGGAGGCGCTGTCCTCGGTGCTGACGGGCCCCTGGAGCGGTGGGAGCGCGGCGACAGGACCTCCCTGGCCAGGTGGAGCGTCATGCGCCGCGGGCCGCCGCCGCTATCCGCGGTGCTGACGCCGCCAGGTGCGCTCCGTTCCGCCGGCTGGTAGCGCGGCTCCGGCCCGCTGCTATCCGCGGTACTGACCCCGCTGCCCTCGGCGGCTGCTAGCCTGGAGGAAGCGTGCGGTTTGGATTTTTTTTTTTTTAAAGCCGTTCTTTATTTAGATTCCAACATCCTCGCATCTCTTCTGTGCCAAACGGGCGCTCAGGCCGTCCATCTCCCCCTTTGCTCTCCCCAACTTGGCGCACCCTCCCTCCCATTCCTCCCTGACACTCCCACCACCCCCCCTCGGATCGGCAGCTCGGCGCGATGCTGCAGAAGACGCGCTGAGCCCTTTTGGATCTAATGCGCAGAGGAGGTTGGCCCAGAGCTCCCCGGCTCCCCCAAGGCTGAACTCCGTCCAAGGTGCCCGCAGGCTCCCTGCCCGCCTTCCCCATGCCAGCCCGCAGCTAGGGGCAGGGGCAGCGGCGGCTGGGGTTGGGGGTGGGTGGGGAGCTTTTGGGGAGGACAGGTCGCAGCTTGGCTATGGAAGGCTCCAATGGCTTTGGGATCGACTCCATTCTCTCCCACCGTGCGGGCAGCCCCGCCCTTCCCAAGGGGGACCCCTTGCTTGGGGACTGCCGCTCGCCCCTGGAGCTGAGTCCGCGCTCGGGGAGCAGCAGCGACTGCTCTTCACCAGCCTCACCAGGAAGGGACTGTCTGGAGACGGGCACCCCGAGGCCTGGCGGGGCATCAGGCCCAGGTTTGGACTCCCACCTGCAGCCTGGGCAGCTCTCGGCCCCAGCCCAGTCGCGCACCGTGACCTCCTCCTTTCTGATCAGGGACATCCTTGCCGACTGCAAACCACTAGCGGCCTGTGCACCCTACTCTAGCAGCGGGCAGTCGGCCGCCCCCGAGCCTGGGGGCCGTCTTGTGGCCAAGGCTGGGGAGGACTTTAGAGACAAGCTGGACAAAAGTGGCAGTAACGCCTCGTCAGACTCCGAGTATAAAGGTAAGAAAACAGGAGGAGAAAACTTGGGGGGGGGGTCATGCTACATTTCTAAGAACTGCCATATTTCTAAAAGCATATAGGGATATGTACATGCTCACTCGGAGTTCCCCGGGGCCCAGGTTGAACCTTTTGGTCTTGTCTGAACCTTTCAGCTGGCCCCGTGGCTATGCCTTGAGCAGCAGAGTGCAGTGGAGAAAGTGCAAGAGGGACACTGTGTGCTCCAGGAAAGATTCCCCAAAATGCACCAAGCAAACTTTCTAAACTTCACCTGGGACCACTTTCCCAGCAGCACTGGTGGGCAGGAGCAGGTTCTTATCCAGCTAGAGTTTCTCTGGGAAAAGATCTTGCAGAAGCAATAGAAGGTCCAGAGGGTTCTGCTCGAACGTCTTTTTATAAGGGTGAAAACCTAGCAGGATATTTCAGACGGAGCCTTAAGAATAGTCAGAATTTTCCCCTTTAATCTGAACTTGCAGGCGGGAAGAGGAACTGAGCTTTCCCTCCCGTTGGGCCCAGTGTGACCTGGGCCCTGGGAATCATTCAAAAGAAAGGCTCACTTCAAAGTAGAAAGATCAGCCAGGCAGCTGACCGGGAGCAGGTTCAGAGGTCTGGGTCAGAGAGGGGAGGACCCTGCACCCACCCCACCGTTCTCACTGAATTTGATTTCAAGTGCATCGAGCAGCCAACTTCAGCTTGTGTGTGGGACCCAGAAACTCGCAAGTGACCAGCCCCGCTTCCCCAGTATTAGAATTGTTTGCCTTTCCACCTCCGGGAGTTTTTTTTGTTGTCGTCTTGACCAGGAAGATGAGATTAGGATTAAGAGGAAAGGGGGAAGGAAAGAAGAAAAGAGGCCCTAGTTTTCTTTCTCACCCCCAGCCACTACCTCGACTCTAGCCAGAGGCGCAAAATTCTTTCTAGGAAGAAGTCAAGAGGCAGGATGGGAAGGAGTCTGGGGATATTGAGGGAGTAAAGCCCTGTGTCCCCATCCAGCAGAAAACTAGGGGCTGGCAGAGGCTGCTCAGAGCTCTTTCAGTTTTACAATTAATTCCAGGAACCCTTTTCATGAGACAAAACTTCCCTAATAAAAGCAACCTTTTTATTGTCTTGGGAGCCCTGTGCCTGCTCCCCCTATTTGCACTAAACCTTCGCAAGAATTTAGGGAACCTCACTTTAACACTCTCCTCCCAACCAAGAATTCATTCGTGGACAGGCCCTGACCACAAACCAAAACCCCTTTGGGGCCCCACTCCTCATCCCACTGCCCTCCGCTTGCCCACACAAGCTGCCAGAGAGTGTCTTTGAGCCGGTTAAGCTAGAGAAGACAGGAAGGAGGTCTGGAGGCATGTGGCCCAGAGACCCCTGCCCCTCCCCCTGGGACCCGTTTAGAGAGGCGAAGAAGACTTGCCCTGGAGAAAGACAGGTGCTGGGGGCGGGGGCAGGGGTAGGCAATGTCTATCTGTATTTATAAGATAGCGGTTTATTATTAATAATTCTCAACAACACCCCAGCTTTATGGTTAGAGTAAGGGGCGAGCATCTCCCACACCGCATGCCAACGGCTGGGGCTGGTGGACGTGGAAGATAGTTTGGCTCTTGTCTCCTTTCATTTCTTTGCCCGTAGGTGGGATTTTGAGGCATGATTTCGTTTAAGATAATTGGAATATCAATTTTCCTCTCCTGTCCCTGATGATATCTGATCAGGGAGGTGATGAGGGCCGGCTGTCCACATATCACTTAAATAGGTTTGGAGCAGAGGGTGTGAAGTTCTCCCCTACCCCCATCCCTAGGAACCGCTGCCTTTGCACTTACAAAGCTCCAAGGTGGAAGAGAGAATGGAAACATCCACCGCTGAGACAATGTCAGGAGTGTTTCTCCAACGTGGAAGCGAGTTTTTCAGGGCCCGAATTAGGAAGGCTTGTTTAGACAGAGACACACGGAGCGAGCCAGTGAGACAGCCAGCGGGGGTGGGCGTCAGAGCAATTCAAATCCCCATCCACCTTCCAAGCTAAGAATAATTTCTTCCAAGGAGGGTACAGAGGGAAGGCCAGCCCCACCCGGGAGTTTTTGGCATCAAAGGCTCCTCAAGGGTCACACTGAAAGAAACTGAAACCAGGCTTTGACGTAAGGCGGTCTGCCGCTGGGTCCTGCTTGCTAGAGCCGATGTCGATGTCGGCGGAGAAATCGGATGGAGAAATTGAGCCAGCGCTTTGCTCAGAGCAGGCTGGGTCAGTGGGCCCGGGACTCTGGGGCACTGAGATGTGGCCAGAGTCTGAGGCCCCACTGGGCTGAGACTGTCCGGGAGGCTGAGGCTGAGCAGCACCGCGTGCCCCTCAAGGCACCAGTCTGAGTCAAAGAGGGATTAGAGAAACGCTCGAGTCTCCAACCCGTTCTTCCTGACACCACAAACTCAATCTCCCACCTCAGCCCTAAGAAGCTGGGGATTTCTGAAGTCAGTCCCAGCAGCTCCCTCAAAAAGTCAGATTTCCACGATATTAAGTTTGAGGTTTGAATAACTGTTTTCTCACACTCGTTTCAACTTCTGCCTTCAGGCACAGACACAACCCAGATTTTGCCTAACGCACCTCCTGAGGTGGCCCATACCCCAGCGTGGCCCCGGCTCAGGGAGGGCAGGGAGAGAGCCTGGTGCACCAGCCTGGTGGAGACAGGAGGGAGGCATCTCCAGACGTTTCCGCCGAGCCGGTGCCCTCCCTGCCCGTCTGCCTCCACGCACCCAGGGCCGGAGCCCTCCCGGCCGAGAACCTCTGCCTTTCTGGTTGAAAAGTCTCACTCCCTAGTGGCTCAATTAACCGGATTATTGTTTCCTACAGAGAGAAATCAACTTGCATTCAGCTGAACCCTGTCACTGCACATGCCAGGCACAATGAAACTCACCATGAAGGAAAATAGAGGAAAAAGAGGGGGAAAGCCCCAGCTGGCGCAGCCAACTTTGGGGACATGGTCTTGTGGGTTATATCGTCACTTTAGGGAGGGAAGGAAGGAGATCATGGAGCTTGTACTATCAAGTGTGCGTTTTCGGAGCAGTCGGCTCTGAACGAAGGCGTCTGGGGGAAAAAAGAAACGGTCCCCTGTCGGGTCCGTTCTTGGGCCTCAGGAGCGGGGCCCCTGCCGGGGTGTCGCGGCCGTGGGGCGTGTATTGACAAGGAAACGCGGGCCACGGCGACGCGCACAGCCGAGGGGCAATCGCGCCGGGTATTTCTCCGAGAGCTTCGCGCTCCCGGCTCGGGCGCCCGGCGTTCCGCCCTCCGCCCCGCGGTCTGCAGGCAGCTCAGGGACCGCGGAGGCCGGCGCTACGGCGTCGCATCTCACAAGGCCAGTGACGGCTTCTCGGGACGCTGATTCGCTGCGGGGCGAACAGGTTTTTGTCTCTCCACGCGGGTTTTTCTCCCCACATGCCGGCCCTCAGCTTCCTCCTTTCCGGGTCCGCACGCGGCCAGGAAATCGGGGCGCGGATGCGGAGCACAGACCCGCACCCCTGAAGCGCGCACCTACGCGGTCCACCCGCTGGAACCCCCTCCCTCCTCCCCGGGCGTCTCCGCCTGGCCGGTCGGCTCAGGGCTCCGGAACGGTTACTCCGTTCATCCCTCCAGGGAGCGCGGCGGAGAGCGAGCGGGTCGGTCCTCTCGCTTTGGGTCATTTGTCCCCGGAGGTGTCAATCCTCCTCTTCCTCCTCCTCCGTCAGGGCTCACGCCCTGGTCTGGGGCGGGCGGGGGGGCGGGGAGCCGGGGAGCCCGCCTTTGAGCCACTTGGCCACGGCCCCAAGCGCTTGAGTGCGGCGGGGCCACGGCCGTCGGGAGCCGCGTTTACACGAGCGGAGCGGACCGGCGGCCAGCTGGGGCGGGAGGGCGCCGGCAGGCGGGAGGCGAGGCCGGGCCCTGACGCACCGCTGTGTCTCCGCAGTGAAGGAGGAAGGCGACCGCGAGATCTCCAGCTCCCGGGACAGCCCTCCGGTGCGCCTGAAGAAGCCCCGCAAGGCGCGCACGGCCTTCACGGACCATCAGCTGGCGCAGCTGGAGCGCAGCTTCGAGCGGCAGAAGTACCTGAGCGTGCAGGACCGCATGGAGCTGGCCGCCTCGCTCAACCTCACCGACACGCAGGTCAAGACCTGGTACCAGAACCGGAGGTGAGCCCTGGCTGCGGGGTGGCAGCGGACAGAGGGCCCCCCTCCTTTCCTAACTGCCCCTCCCTGGGACCCGCAAGCCTTGGCCTGACCCTGAGAGGACCCCTGCACTTTCCCTATTCTGTAAAGTGAGAAGACTCAGGACCCGCGGGGTGGAGGCCTTGCTCAAAGACCACAGTGAGGGACAGCGACAGGACTGGACTCGTCTCCAGCGCCCAGTCATCCCCTTCCAGGACAGGAGGACAGACAGACTCATGAGTCTGCCCCTACTTCAGCCAGGGTCCTACCCTCCGCACCGGGACCAGCCTTAGCTCCTATTGGGGCCACTGAGCTCTCCAGGATGGATGCCAGGCTGGGGGAGGGGTGGTGCTCTCAGTATCCAGAAAGTCTTGCGGGGGGCGGGGCCGGGAATGAAGGAGTAGCCCTGATGTGTGTGTGTTGGGGGGCTCTCTGAGCTCTCTGGGGGCTCCTCTGGACACCTCAGCCTTTACAGTCGGACTGGAGGAAGAAACAGACCCAGCTCCGGCTCCTTGGGGAGAGGGCGATTGGGAAACTGGCAGTGGGCACTGGTCTAGAAGCTGCCTCCCCAACACCATCACAGGATGAAATCACTCACACCCATGCACAGACACCCCCCCACACACACTGACACAGCTCACACACACCCACACTCACACTCGCACACTCAGTGTGAGCTGGAATGGTGCTTTCCATAAACAAGCCTCAGAACACATCTCCCCATTAATAATAAATACCGATTACTGCTCGGGGCATCAATAATTAAGGCCCGTTACAGTAATTACACAATTATGATGATGATGAATAATTCAGGGAGGGAAACGCGGTTGGTGTGGCTGTGCCCGCCTCGGTGGGACTGGGGCAGGCTGGCCCAGCCTCACTGGCCAGGCGCACCCAGTGGTCCCAGCTGAAGCGTAGCCTCAACTTCCTTGCCTCCTCCAGCATCAGGCTAACACTCGGCTGGCTGTCTCCGAATTGGGGTTCCCGCAGCCTGCAAGGCTCCTCCTGTGCTGGGGAGCTGGGTGCTGAGGGCAGCGGGTGCGGGTGGAGAGGGTGTGCGGCTAGTACTCATACTCTCCAGTTGCCGACTCCGGTCTGCGCGCTTCCAGAGAAGCTCGCCCAACGGGGCATCTGCCCGGTCCGTGGTTCAGTGGCCACGGGCCCTCTTCCACCGCTAGCTAGCGGACCAACCTCTTCCACCCGCCCCATCATCGTGGGGGGGGGGTCGAGTTCCTAAATCCTCCCAGGGGGCGCATACACAGGGGAGGGGAGCCCCAACACCCAGCTCCGAGTGTCTCCTGTGATCTCCAGAGCCCAGCGCGGTGAGGTGAGAACCCCATCTTTGGGGTCAGACAGCCTGGCTTCGAGCCTGGGCTCTGCCTCTTTGGAGACCATCTCGAAAAATGGCCAAGGCCTCAGTTTTCTGATCTGTAAAACAGAGATAACAGCCACGGAAGGCTGGGGGATGACAGGAGCCGATGCATGTGACAGCGGAGCACAGTGCCTGGCACCCCGTTATTTATTAACGAATCCGTGGGATCCCTCTTGGCCTCCCTGAAGGCGCTCTGGGCCAAGCACTCGTGAGCGGCAGGGGTCCTTGGGCGCCACAGCCCTGACCTCGCCGTCCGCGTTTATTTCGGTCCCCAGGACTAAATGGAAGCGACAGACGGCAGTCGGGTTGGAGTTGCTGGCGGAGGCGGGCAATTACTCAGCGCTCCAGCGGATGTTCCCGTCGCCTTATTTCTACCCGCAGAGTCTAGTTTCCAACCTGGATCCCGGCGCCGCACTGTATCTGTACCGCGGGCCCAGCGCGCCGCCGCCGGCCCTGCAGAGACCTCTGGTGCCCCGCATCCTCATCCACGGACTCCAGGGCGCCAGCGAGCCGCCCCCGCCGCTGCCCCCGCTGGCCGGCGTCCTCCCGCGCGCCGCGCAGCCTCGGTGAAGCGCCCGCCCGCCTCCCTGGGGCTCCGCGTGGGCTCCTTCCGCCTGCCCTTCGCGGGGCGCGGGGTTTCAACGCCCCTTCCCCGGGGCCCCCTGGCCGGCCCTCCCTGGACTCCCAGCCAGTGTCCCCCGAAGGGCCCTGTGCCAAGTCTACCGAGGCCCGGACCCGGACTGAGTCCCCCTAACCCCCCCCCCCCCAACCCCGCCGCGTGCTCCGTCCCGGCCACGCCGTCAAGGAGCCACTCCCACCCGCCGGTGTACATACACCCCGCCCCCCATGGCTCCTCAAGGCGCCCTGCCCTGCACCTTCTTGGGAGGAGGTGGGGGGCGACCCCGACGCTGCACTCTTTCCCGCTCCCCCTTCATGCTGCAGCTGTACACCCGGCCCTCTCCCCGCACCCCGACAGGCCGAGGGGAGTGTGGAGCCCTCCTCCTGGGCCGCAGCAGAGCTGTACATAAGGTGTGCAAAGTGTATATGAAGTTATTTATTCGTGACCCATGAGCCCGTGACCGTGTCCGTGAATTAGTGAGTCTGTGGCCTGTGCCCTCTTCCCTCCCAGGTGAGGCAGGAAGGGGTCGGGCTTGTCCACCACCCCGACCCCCAGCCTCCTTTCCGGGGGCAGGCAGGCCCTCGGGTTCTCTCTTTTTTAAATGTCGAAATAAACTTCTTACAAATGACCATGCGCCTGTCCGCGCTCAGCCCTTCTTTCCCGCCCCTCCTTAAGATTCATTTTCCCCTTCTGGGACGCGGCCTCCTTCCATCCGCAGTAGGGAATATTTTTGTCCCCCTCTCTTCCTTGGCGCTGTGGTCAGGGGGCAGGGGGCCCATTGGCCTCGCTGGGGTCCACGGGCAGGGGCCTCCCCTCCCTGGCCTCAGTCTTCCTGTCTCTACAGTGAGGCGAGCCTACTGCTCTCCCCACCGCCCCCCTTCCCTCTCCATCTGGCTCCTTGCGGCTCCCAGCCGGTCCCGGGGGCCGGAGCGGGGGTCAGCGCCTGGTCTCGCTCGGCGGCGGGCCGGGCTGCGGTGCCCTCGCTGAGCCGGCTCATCTGGCCGCAACAAGGGCGCCGGCAGCTGGTGACCGGCCCGCCGGGCGCGGGGCCGACAGATGGGCTCCGAGGCTACTCCCCCCGCCAGCCCCCTCCGCCCCGCGCTCCGGCCGAGATCGGGCTCCGGCCCCGCGCCGCCAGGACCCAACAAGCCTTCGCTGGGAGCCTGACGCTGCATGGGTAACCCCCCAATCCCGCATCTTCTCACCTCCCCCCTTGACCCTGGGAGCACGCAGATGAGACCCAGAGGGGAGCCAAATCCCCGCGTCTGCCCCATGCCCCAGCCTGCGGCACCAGGATCTCAGGGGAGGGGGGCTTAAGGCTCCAGCCAGACTGGAGGCCTCCAGTTCATGTTCAAAGGGCCAAGGTCACCTCCTGAGGCCGGTGGCTCTCAGGGGAAGTGGGCACAGGTGCTTCCCTCCCACACACCACCTGCAGCTCGGACTCTCAGGACAGAAGACAGGCTGAGGGCCCGGAAGTTTTGGGGCCCTATAAGCAGGGCCCCCTCCAGTTCTGTGGCAGAGCCAGTTTTGTGGCTGTGGGAGAGGGCTGCCTCCTGGGGGAGGGGTGGAGGGCATGTTTAAACTACCCCCCCAAACGGACCCTGCTACTGTTTCCTCCCCCCCCCCCCACCGCTTTTCTTTCCCCGGATGGTGAGGGTATTATTCTAATTTTGCAAAATGCACAGCAGCTAATTAAGTCAAGGAGCCTCTCGGCTTTCGAGTTCTTTTGCATGTGAATGGGGGTTGGTAAATCCCCAGCTCTGGCTGCGGTGGGGGGCGAGGGGAGACTGTCCCCAACTCAGGGTTAATGAAGTGGGAAAGGAGTCTCTCATAGCCTCCTGCAAACAAAACCCCCCACGCAACAAACCCAGCCGAAATCCTACATGGATTGACTTAAGCCCAGGGGATAAGTGCTTTAAATTAATCTCATTGAATAAGAATGAGACCAAACAAAACTCTTTAAAATCATATTAAAAATCTATCAAAGGACAACTTGCACTGGTGTGCTTTTCATTTTGTGAAAGTGAAGGAGGTAGACCAGAGCAACCACCCCTCCGTTTACACAGCGGCAGTGTAAACCGCAGACACATTCTCAACTATGTAATTGTCCTTGTACCTCAGAGGCGATTTCATATCTTACATTAATGAAGAACAAGGCTTCCCTACAAGTTTATAATTACAATATTTTAAATTGTCCTGCACTTCCCATCTGTAATAATAACTTCACAACCTCTGCGATGAGGTGGGCTTCTGCTCTCATCCACTTAGAAGAAGACTAAATTGGCTTCCCTGTTCCCAACCCTGCGACTGGGTGTGAACTCTTTTCAAAATACAAAGAAAGAATGAATGCAAGCCCCCCCCCACCCAGTGGGCCGAACAATGGCAGAGGCCCCCAGGAGGCGTCTTCTCCGCTCCCCCACCGGTCCACCCCGCTCTCTTAAGAACCTAGGCTCCGCGGGGTCGGGGCAGTGAAGTTTAAAGGAAGTTTAGGTTCCCCTGTGAGCCTCGTTACAAGGGCTCTGGAAATTTCTGAGGAGCCTAGCTGACTTGAAGGGTGTCCCACTGCCCCCACACAGGTAGGCCTTGCCCGGAGGTCCTCTCACGGTGGGAGCGGATTAAGACATAAGGTGAGATGGTCACACAGGCAATTTAATAAGACCCGCGAAGTGCCCTGTCCAAGCTTTTCCAGTAGAAAAAGCTTTAAATCCCCGTGTCATGGAAGCGATGCTTGGACTCACATGGCTTTCCCTGACTTTGCTGAGGGCCCGAAGTGGTGACTAGCGAGGTCCCTAGCAGTGTGGGATGCACCTGCCTTGAGGGGCTCTCCCTGACTCCCTCTTCCCTAAATCTCACCTCCCTTCACTACAGGAAAGGAAAAAAAAAATCAGAGGAACCCACTGGGCTTTGTCAGAATGTCCTCTGCCGAGACCTCGTGGCCTCTTGGCTTCTCGGAGAGTGGAAGGCGCCGTGTGCACCAGACTGACTCCGTCACTCGCCAAGGGCTCTTTGCCCTCTGGTGTGTGGGAACGGGCCCCCGGAGGAGCTGCAAACGCGGAGAGGTTTTGGATGCAAAACCAGCATTCGACAAGCCCACGAGGGGAAAAAGCTTTAGGCTGCAGTACTCCACAATGTGCCCAAATTCTCTGTGACTTTAAATAGGTAAGTTTGGGAAATCAGAAAAAGGGACACGATTAAAAACACACACGAAATTAGAATATGTACAGTGGAATCAGGCTAAAGCTTCCCCTAATTGAGGCCTGAAATGTATAATCTGTCAGGAGCCAGAATAGGAGAGAGATTTATTTTAAGGTTATTTAAATTTAGATAATATTAACCCTAAATCTGTTAAATCCGTGTTTCTTTATTAACTGGGGGTAATATATTGATTCTGCTTAGAAACAGGCCCTCGAAGCATCTATGGCAGTAAACCCTGACCTCAGTGTCGGCAAATCAAGCCCGAGTCCCACCTCAGAGTTCTGGTCCTTTATGCTCTGCAGGGGCAGGGCCATCAGGGCCGCAGGAATGCAGAACCCGGCCTGCACCTCTCTTGGAACGAGTACTTGGGGGTGGGCGGGGGCGGGGAGCAGGCCTTCTCTTTGATCCTCCCCAATCACTGGCATTAATCCCGTTTCTCACACAGCTGGGTTTTGTCTCTAAAGTTCAGTGCCTCCTTTTCTCATCCAATTCCTGTGAACCGTTACACACAGAAGTAAATGAAAGGTGGCGGATTTCCCCAAGTCAGCTTGACACGTGCTGTAGGAATTTATTAGTATTATTATTACTGTTAGAAATTTCACCAACCGTCCCTATGAATGCGTACGTGACAAGTGATCCGAGGAGGTCACCCCCTCCATGGAGGATTAGTACTCACTGGGCTCCCACTGGCCCTCTCCCCCGGCTGCCTCCGGCCCCTACCCTGGCTACCGGAGAGGGATGGTGGCGAGGAAGCCGACCCCTCCGTGGACCCCACAAGCAGCCACCTTGCAACTCTCATGACCCGCTCCTGGCCACTTAGTTCCTGTGGATCTGGAGGGTTTACTGAAATGGGGCCTCAGCTCCCTCGGCAGGAGCTGGAAGAGGAGGAAGGCAGCAAAGAGAACAGAGAAAGTGGAGGGAACAGACAGACTGAGTCCTAACAGTCCGGGCAGACTCCCCTCTGGAGTCCTGGGTCCCAATCAGATACTTACTGGGAAATCACTGTGGGGTCGGGTGGGGGCGGGGCTTTCAGCCTCCCAGGGAAACACGTGGGGGGAGGGGTGACTGAGGCTTGGGCCACACTACACACACTACAAACCCAGACACAAAACTTGAAGACAAGGTGGGATTCGATGGGAGAAAACAGTCGGAGACTGGTGCCCTTTGACTTCAAAGGCAACAGTAAAAAAAAAAAAAAAAAGAGAGAGAGAGAGAAAGAAAGAAAAAGAAAAAAAAAAAAAAGAGAAAAGGCACCAGTACATGCATCAGCCCTGAGAGTTTTCCGTGGACATGGACAAGGCAGCCATGCGTGGGAATGCAACGGGTTCGGAGCAGCTCGCGGGCAGGACCAGGAGCCTTCTGACCCCCACCCTAACCTGCTGGGTCCTTCTCCACAAAGCACTTGCACATCAAGAAAAGGAGCTGATGTCTTTTTTTTTTCACTTTCACAAACTGCATTCCAGTTTTTAAAATCCTACTTTCCAAAATGCATGCTAGTCCATGTGGCTGATACAGGGCAGCTAATGAAAACTGAGACTTGTTCAGAACCGTGTCCCGAGGCAGGAAGAGGCCTCCCGCTGATGCCGGCCCCACCAGGTCCTCGCAGAGGTCAAGAAGTGCCTGCAACTGGGGCGGGGTGGGGGGGGGGCGGCAAGATGGTTCTGGTGGAAGAGATGCCAAGTATAAGCTCTCTCACGAAGGTAAGCATTAACCCCGCCTCTGCCAGGACGAGGGCTGTGGCTTCTCCGGGTTGGGGACATGGTGTTCAGGGAAAAGTGGCACCATTACTTCCCACAAGGCTCCCGACAAGGACAGGGCCTGTGGAGGCAGAGTTAAAAAAAAGAACAACTGAAAACTTTTTGGGGGAAGTCCTGTTGTCCCCCAGTTAAGTCTTTTTGGGTTCTTCTGCTTCACGGGAAGCGTTTCTTAGTTTTTCCCACGGCTGAGGCTGGGCGCCGGGAGCAGACAGCGCTGCGTGGCTGGCTGCCGGGCTCTGCCTGTTTGTTTTGCTTTTTGACCTTGGCGACGCCGGCCTCCATCCCACTTGAGTATTCCGAACGCAAGATTTCAGCGAGGCAGTGTTTACTCCGGGTCTTCTTATGAAGGTCAGGCCTGAAGAACAGTAACAGCAGAGAGGAAAAGAAACTTTATTATTTTTTTCCTTCCCGTTTGGAAAGAGCCTGAGAGCAGCCGGTTCGGAGACTGCGGAACTGACATTTCTGTATTAACAGAAGTACAACGCCTTCAACAGTGCTTGTTTTGATATCCCATGCACCAGAAGATTAGATCCGGCGCTGACAGATTTTCATAACGGTGGCAAAATATCATGGCATTTTAAAAAGTGAGGCTTTGTTCTACGTTGTTTTCATGGGAAAAAAAGAACGATATACACACTCACACTCTGATGGCAAATGAAGTGTGTGACACAGCAGTTTGCCAAAGGATGAGGGAAAAGACCCACCTTGAAACTCCACAAGGCTCAGTGGTGAGAGCTCACCAGTGGCTCCCGGCCGGTGAGGCCCGCACCATGCAGAGCCACTGGCCTCCTCCCGACAGGGCCAAATAGGGACGGCTGGGGTGTCAGTGACAGTCACCTCTTCACTGAGCGAGGAGACTCAAGTAAGCACTTCTGACCCTAAAGGCCCCAAGCCCGGGGTGCGCTGGGCCAGCGCGGTCAGCGTCCACACGGCAGCTGGATCAGTGGCTCTCCGCGGACCACAGCTGTAGCTGTGGCTCGAGGGGGGTCTCCCTGCCCGACCCACTCGGAAAGTAAGTGCCAAAGTCTGAAAATCCACCTCGGACGTTGAACACTAGTAACTGTTCCAAAAGACAGCAGCCTTACCATTTGATCCGGAGATCAGAGGGAGAAATCTGTAAAAGTTCAGTTGTACACAGGAAGAACGATTACGAAAATGGAAAAGTGAATGTTTCCTAAGACAGGATTTTAACCAAAACAACAGAAACCCACAGTGTTAGGTGGGCCGCTCCCTCAGCCCCCCGATGGCAGGGTCACAGGGTAACATGGTGTCTTGGGGCTCCTACGGAAGGCACATGTCACACTCTGTGACTTACAGTTACATTTTCTTTGTAATAACCGCAGCTCAGGTGGACCAGGGCTGTGGTGCACGCAAACGTATTGGGACTCCTGTGAAACTCCAGAACCGGCAACAGGACCGTTACACTAATAAACGGATGATTAAAGGCCGCAGAGCCGTGTGACGGTGTTGTCCCTGGACAAAGGCGGCCACGCCAAATTACGGGCGCGCTGCACAGGGTGTGGGGTGCAGGTGGGGTGTAGGCAGGGTGCAGGGTGCGGGCGGGGTGCAGCTGAGCCCGTGGCGCCAGTAGAGTGAGGTTTCCCACCACAACACATGGGGGCCACAGTCACCCTTGGCTGGGCAGAGTGAAGACTTGAGGACGACAAGAGGCCAGGGCCTGAGGGCTAGAGTTTCTCACGGGGCTGCATGGCTGTGTCCTGGAGATGAGGGGTACAGAGGTTCTACACGATCCCACACAGCCCCCGCGGGATGAGGGCGGCATGGCAGCAGCCTCCCACCACAGACAAGAAACCTAATCCGGAGGCGCACACGTACCTTGCCCAGGACCATCCAGCTCACGGGGGGCAGAAGCAGAGACGCAAACACACGTCAGAGGGGCTCAAGCTGGCGTGCTTCCAACCAGGCCGCGGGGCCCGGGGTGAGCGATCAGGAAGGCCCAGCAGCATCAAGGGTGACAACCACGATATGACATGGGGAAGTCCCAGGGTCACACAGGGATGCTGCAGGGGGACCATGGGGGTCAAATCTGGATGGCCGAGGAGGAAGGGGCAAGTGGGGAGGAAGAGGAAAGGCCGGGGGTGATGGAGGTGCCTGGCCTGGAACCTCGCTCATTAGCTGAACGACAGGGACCGAGGCTCTCTGGGCTCCAGCTTCCTCATCCGAACCGGGAGGACGCTCAGGACGAAGCTCACGGAGCCGTGAGGGGGAGGGACGACGCGCAGGCTGAGGCAGGCCAGGGCACCTCTGGCTGCTCCCCCTTCTCCTCCAGGGCCCGCCGTCCAACTCCAAGGGGGCCCGCCCGTGCCCTGGCGGACGGCTGCAGCTCGGGGGGCCGGAGCGGGGCTGGGAAGCGGGGAAGCAGCAGGAGCCAGGCCTGCAGCTGGGAGCACTCGGCTTGCTGCACACCGAGGGCTGCCAGTTCTGGTGCCTGGAGGTTATTTTTAGACGGGTTACATGACAGACGGAGTGGAAAGGTTCTGACAGGAAGAAACGCTGCCTCTTCTCTTTTGACGCCAGGTACTTACAATGTGTATAATTTTAAACGCAACAACCGAGTTTCAAAATATGCAAACTTTCCGTCAAAATATCCTCCCCGGCACACAATGTGTCTGCCGCCTCAGAGACCGCTCCTGCCACCCGCGAATGCAAGATAAACAGCCAGTGTCCGAGGGCGGCGATCTGCAGAAGTGACACTCTCCCGGCCAGGGCGCTCGGCGGTGTGCCCTGCGCCACCACCGGTGCCACACAGCGGGCGGGCGCACGCACAGCTGGGTGCTCCGGGCCGCGGAAGGCCCCGTCTGCTGGGCACGGGGGGTGGGGGGCGTGCGTGGGGGCGCGCTGACCAGCAGCTTCAAGTCTGCGCCGTGGAAGAGGCCGCCCCTGAAAGCGCCGTCTTGGAGGTGGTCCTGCACAGAAGCCTGGAGCTTGTGATCACAAAACCTCCCGGCTGTGTCATGATCTCATTCTAGTCAATGAACGTACTTCCAAGTCGGGGCCCACAGCCAAACTCCAAGGCTCTTGGTGGCCTGGAGAGCGAGCGGGCTTTGAGCTTTCAGACCCAGAGCCCTTCCTGAGGACGCGGACCTCAGGGTCACCCGCAGGAGCCTCCCCTGCTGTCGGAGCAGCAGGACCCAACTTCCCCCTTGGCCGGCTCGCTGCCTGCCGTTCCTTTGTTCTGAGGCCCGGGGCGAGAAGGCGAAGTGCAGATGGGAAGGTGGGACGTTCTCAGCCCAGGCCCGCGCCGGGCGCATGCGGGCTCCAGCTTCCTTCTCCTGCCAAGCTGCAGTCCTCCTGGGGACCCGCCAACTTTCTTGCCCTCCTTGCCCTCCAAACACTCCAGCCCCTCTCCAGTGGCCCTCCCGGGGCTGCGAGTAATCCGGCAGTTACCAAGCAACAGATCAGTTTATCTAACCACGGGGAGCTCCCTTGTAGTGAAGGCTGAAGAGCCCCCTCGGTCAGCAGCCTGGACGGTCACCAGCCGGGATCACCCGGCAGGACGGGCAGATGCCACTTTCGCTGCCAATAAGGCGAAATCACAGCCTAATTAGGAAATCTATGTGGCCGCTAGGGTGACCGCTGCAGGAGAGGGGCCTCGGGCCCTCCTCCCAGTTTTATGGACAGACTCCCAGAGGGCCACCCCAGGTAGGGAGCCGGCCCAGCCCGGGCTTGTGTCAGTCTGTCCTCTTGCGGGACGGAGGGTTTCACTTTATCTTCTTTTGTTTAGGTGCTGTCAAGCCCATCGATGTTTTCTTTTCTGTTTTATCGCTTTAAGGCCAGGCTTAGGGAAGTCTTCCTCATCCTTGCACTGAAAAACGCTCAGGCATACTTTCTTTTCCTCTGCTACCGCCTTAATTCCATCAAGATTTTCTTCTGGTTTAACAATTCCTCCCCAGCAGCTATCCAGTTACCCAAGACAGTCACTGGACAATAACCCTGCCCCCCAGGGACTCAGAATGCAGCCATCACCCCCTTTCTGATGTTCAGAACACTTCCCGCTGGTGACGTGCGAAGACGGCAGCATTAACGCAGTCTACAACTCGATTAGAACAACATGTAACTCACATGGGCAGTGAAGGGATTTAAAGGTAAAACAAGTCTTAAATCCAGGGCTTTCGAACCAGCCACGCGACTGTAATAAACATTCTGCTCCTCCCGCTCCCGTGACACTCAGGGTAGGTCAGGCACCATTTTCGGCACTTGACAGGTATTTAACTCACTGACTTCGCCAACAAGCCCACGACACAGGTAGTGTTGGCGCCCCAGGGCCATGAACCAGGACAGAAGAGCTGCTGGTTCAGCCCCGAAAATCTGACCCTATGACGTGCACACTTAACCACAGTGCTGTGCTCATCAAAATGAGAAGTCTCTTATGTGAAATTTTTTTTATAAGTGGGGGAAGGGGGAGAGGGAGAGAGAATCTTTTTTTTTTTTTTAATTTATTTATTTGACAGACAGAGATCACAGAGAGAGCGGGGAAGCAGGCTCCCTGATGAGCAGGGAGCCCGATACGGGACTCGATCCCAGGACTCTGGGATCATGACCTGAGCCGAAGGCAGAGGCTTAACCCACTGAGCCACCCAGGCGCCCCGAGGGAGAGAGAATCTTAAGCAGGCTCCACGCCCAGCACGGAGCCCAGTGAGGGGCTCAGTCCCAGTCATGACCTGAGCTGAAACCAAGAGGCAGAAGCGTAACAGACTGAGCCACCCCAGAGTCCCAAAATACTTTCAGTAACAAGACAACGTTCACATTATCTCAAAATCTCAGAGACTCTTAGAGCCCCCGATAGAGTGCATCTTATGGTTGGATAACAGGTAAAAAACAGCACTTTAGAAACTCAGTTTGTTCAGCTTCATTACAGATACGAAGAGACCCGAATGCATACACTTGCAGAGGAAGTCTGAAGGGCATAAAAGATGTGAGTCAAGGTTAACTTGGATTGTGGGTTTATGGGGGGTTTTTTAAGCTTTCCTCTATTTCCTGAATTTTTACAATGAACATGTATTATTTTTATAATCAGAAAAAAGCATATTTTAGGAAAGAAAAATCAAATGGTAGATTTTTGCCCTATGCTGAAACATCAAAATATTTTAATCTTTACTTATCAAAATGTCATTCCCTTTGGCTGTTAGTTTGCTTGATTCTGTGAGGGATTTTTCTCTTAAATCAGACATACAGAAGAGGGAGGAGTCAAGTGTACTTACTTTTCTGATCTGAAAGATTCTGCACGAAAATGAATGACCCAGAGCCACAGTGAGACACTCCCTTCCCCAGGACTCTGCAGGGAGGCAAGCCCCCAGCTGGAAGAAAAGCCCATGTTCTAAGTGATCCCGGTAG